CCCCAAAACCCCAAAACCCCGCAAGAAAATGGTTTGAATGAATGAGTGAATGAAAAAGTTAATGAATTATTATCTTTTGAAAGCAGATATATAAGATTATATTTAAGTTTTGTTGCTAGCTATTGTCTACTAGATATTATTCTAAATAATCAAAGTCCCCATCTCTATTGGATAGATGAGTACCTCTCAATATTATTAATAAAGTCTATTGCTCGATAATTTAATAAACTGCCGCATTGAAAAATCTCTGCTATTTCCTTCTATAGCATTGGAAATCCTGGCAATTCTAAGATATCCTTCTAGCTATTAAACGCTAGGACGACTTAAGGGTTATGTGATATTTTAGAATTCTACTTGACATACTAGTAGCACTTTAAATTTTAGTGCATATAATTTTCCAATTACTCGTATTTCTATTTTTTACCTTCCTTAAAATCTTCTACTGATTGCACTTAAGAACTTGAATGACACGTAAAATTAAGCTTCTTAGCCTTCTTTTCTTTACCAATAATTTATGAAAGCCTTAAAACATCATCTAAATTTTGCTGTTCATTGATATATACAATCAAAGTTTCAACTAGGTCTGCATTTTCAGCTTTCTAATATTTAATTCTAATTACATCTTCCTCTTTACTCTCAATTATTTAAAACAGACCCTTTTTATGTCGAAATGCTGCTGTATCGATTCTTCGTTTTAGTTATTGCTACATATTAAGTCTATCATTGTGTAATTTTTTGGTGATGTCATGAATTTAAATGACTTAAGAACCAGCTCTTATTAAATAGGAGACTACATCACACAGTTTGCTGATCTCCTAGCGAGTTCCCTAAAAACGATTAATGACAATTGACGCATGATCTAGTTTTTTTGTCATTCGAGTAGTAAATACATCAACCATTCGTTCATCTGTAAAGTAAATAAGACTCAAAACGTAATATCTTAGTGTAGCTTTCATTCTGATTTAGGCCCTTTCAGTTATGCGAAGAGCTAAATTGATGTAAAAGATTAAAAAGTGAAGCAAGCGTAGTACTATTTTTGACATTTATATTAAATATCTCTATAAATAACAATTTACTGAATAATCAAGGTATTAAAATTCTTCATCCTTCGCTCATCATTTGTTTCCCTTTTTAAATGATCATGGGGTTTTGGGGTTTTGGGGTTTTGGGG